TAGACAGTGTATAAGAAAGAAATATCAAAGTAAATAGAAAGAAAATTTATCATAAATTTTAATCAATAATCTCTAATCGTCTCTCTCTCTCTCTCCAGTGTGTGTGACTATGAAGTGTAATAATACACGATAGGCCCAGAGCCAGCATCGGGCTAATTGCCCAGCAATTTGTAGTCTTAAATATTGCGATTAAAAATAGTATTTAATGATAATAATAATAATAAGTTGAATTGAGGTCCAACACCCGAAATGTTATATTATATTTTGGTGCGATTCCAACGACTAAATTATATTCAGACTCAGTGTATGAGTGAAGGAGAGATTGGACTTTCAGTTTGTATGTTATTAATGATGAGATTGTGATTAAAACCTGTGTTCACGGGTAGTGCCCAATGCCTCCGCTCTCCTCATCTCATAGACAAACACATACTGTATATAAAAAAGTTTTATTTGTTGAAAAGCCTTCTGAAAAGTTTTTTATGGCTAAACGTTATATAAATAGTATTTAAAACATTTTATTATTATTTTGTAATGATTTTTTCTGCTGTGAAACGAATATAAAATATGTTTAATTAGTACTTTCTTTTAATCATTTCTGTTACCGAAATGTCAAATGTAAGCAAAGGCTTGACTCACATTAATATAATATTTTATTTAATGTCTGCAAAATGTTTTACGACTTTCGGCTAATTTTTGTATTTAATTAATAAATCATGTTTTGATTTAAATTCTAATATTTGGTTCTGTTTCTGATATAATTAAAAAATAGTGAAAATAATGTTTTAAAATGTTTAAACTTCTCGTTACAGACAACTCGTATAAATGCACAAAAATGAACACAATTGGCAAATATTTATTCATTGGACACCAATTCAATCATAAATGTCTTTTAAACAGATTTATAATTTTATATTTTATGGTAAGAATATTATTGAACTAAACTTTTGTTATACAAATCGTGTTTTTTGTAAATAATTAATTATATTTCGCTTTTATTGAACCAACAGTTTATATATTCCCAAAGTGTGGATGCAGTGAATTATTGGAGACGATTAGGTATGATATGTATAACCTTTTAAATATAAAATAATTAATTAAACTTAATTTATAAACAGTTATATAATAAAGATTTGAGGTATAGTTTAAAAGTAAAAAGTTTAAATAATAACAAAAACATTAATGAATTAAACGATCAATAGTTTCAAATACACACAATCTATCAGTAAATAAAAATAGCAATTGATTTTTATGGCTCACGTCTTAACTGTTATGAATTGAATAATAACTTGCATTGAGTTAAATAGTGATTACAAATACAGTAAAAAGTTATTCATTATATAATTATAAAGTACGAAAATATATCGCTTAGAAAGGTTTGAAATTACATTATTTGCACATTTATTATTGCATTTTCTGATTTAGCAATAAAAATAAATTTCCAATTATTTATAAAATAAGAGAATAAAAAGCGATTCAAATTAAGGCTAGAGTTTGAATTGAATGATAGGAAATGTAGAGAAAATGTGTAATTAATTTGTTGTGGATTTTAGGTCCGATTCCGTCAGATCTGAAGGTTAACTCTGAGTGCAAGTCATCGCTTCAGTGCTTACTCTTCATCCCAAACAGCCATTGCGATTGGGATGCGAGGGTCTGCACGTGTCAGCCCTATTACATCCTCTACAACGAGACCACTTGTCTGCCGGGTATCACATCTCTATCACATGTCTATCACTTTCATTGTCTCGCATTTTCTAATCAACTAATGTCTCGATATAGTTTCAAATACACACAATCTATCAGTAAATAAAAATAGCAATTGATTTTTATGGCTCACGTCTTAACTGTTATGAATTGAATAATAACTTGCATTGAGTTAAATAGTGATTACAAATACAGTAAAAAGTTATTCATTATATAATTATAAACTACGAAAATATATCGCTTAGAAAGGTTTGAAATTACATTATTTGCACATTTATTATTGCATTTTCTGATTTAGCAATAAAAATAAATTTCCAATTATTTATAAAATAAAAGAAAAAAGTGATTCAAATTAAGGAAAGAGTTTGAATTGAATTTATAGGAAATGTAGAGAAAATGTGTAATTAATTTGCTGTGGATTTTAGGTCCGATTCCGACAGATCTGAAGGTTAACTCTGAGTGCAAGTCATCGCTTCAGTGCCTACTCTTCATCCCAAACAGCCATTGCGATTGGGATGAGAGGGTCTGCACGTGTCAGCCCTATTACATCCTCTACAACGAGACCACTTGTCTGCCGGGTATCACATCTCTATCACATGTCTATCACTTTCATTGTCTCGCATTTTCTAATCAACTAATGTCTCGATTACAGCGTCTTTGTTGGGCTTCGGGTGTAGTATTGACTCTCAATGTACTCTAAAAGTGCCAAACAGTCAGTGCTTGGATGGGATCTGTCAATGCAAACAAGACTTTATACCATTGAGAAGAGACAAGTGTTTGCCCCGTATGTCGTATACATGATTATAATCCTATTTTTCATATCATTTTTACATTCATGAATATTGATGTCATTTGCAAACAATAGCTGCAAAAGTGGAGGACTACTGTCTGAATGACCAACAGTGCCGACTGTCCGACAAATACACGCATTGCAAGTATATTATACCCAGAATTTACGGCAAATGCAAGTGTCCGCTGACCAACACTCTCACCAAAGACGACAACAAATGTCTTCCCAGTAATTAATATCTATTGAAATATGTTTTATACTGTGTTTTTGATAACTAATTGATTGATTGGTTGTTGGGATCAGATCTGCAGACGCGTTGTTTCGACGACATGGATTGCAAAATGGCTACAAATAACTCGTATTGTAAACCAAATGCCAATTCTTTGGCATTAGATAAGGACTCGCAGTGCATGTGTTTGGATGGGTTTGAGATGACGGAAGACAAGCTTCACTGTAAACCACTGCCAACTACTCCCAAACCTTCAGGTACTGAAAGTCGTGGTCTGAAAGTGATTGTAGTGGAGATGATATGTTTGATTGAATTCATTCATTGAATTCGTTGATTGCGTTGATTGTAATGATGTGTTGAATGTCTTCAACAGCCGCTCCAATAAATAGTATCGATTCCGAGGACTCGGACGCGGATGAGAGTGCCTTCACTATAGATCCGGTATCTCTTGGAAAGGTGTGCAA